CCCCCCCACCACCACCACCCAGGTGCCTTTTTCCGCTACATGCGGCAGCAGTGCATCAAGCAAGAGCTCATCTGCAAGTGGATCGACCCCGAGCAGCTGAACAACCCCAAAAAAAGTTGCAATAAAACTTTCAGCACCATGCACGAGTTGGTCACCCACGTCTCGGTGGAGCACGTTGGGGGACCCGAGCAGAGCAACCATGTCTGCTACTGGGAGGAGTGTCCCCGGGAAGGCAAGCCCTTCAAAGCGAAATACAAACTGGTCAACCACATCCGAGTGCACACGGGAGAGAAGCCCTTCCCCTGCCCCTTCCCCGGCTGCGGAAAAGTTTTCGCCAGATCTGAAAACCTCAAAATTCACAAAAGGACGCACACAGGTAATTCGGGTTTCTTTCGGCGAATTCCCCTCCGCTGCCCCTGCCTATATAGATGTATGCAAAGAGATAGCGACCCGGACAGAGAGACGTAAAATGATGTGTGATAAAATAATTTAATATATATTATTTTTCCCCATCACACGGCCGTGTTTGTTTTTTGTTTCTTCCCCACCAGCACCTCACCCCACTCTTCCCCAGATTTCGAAAGAACGTTTTACTGATTTCTTTTAATTTGTGGGGTGAGCGGTGTAGATTCGTACCGAGACCCGGCGGGGTCTTTCCGCAGAAACGCAAAATACAGCGCGAACTAAATTCTGCCGACCTGCTAAAAGACGGGAAGACGTATATGTGTGTATATATACACACACACACACAAATACATTAAACGCCTTATACATTTGCGACGCGCAACGTATTTGCATGTTACTTTGGCGCTTGTGAGCGTGGCTTTCATGTATGGGTACAGAGAAAAACTATATAAATACGTGCAATCCGTCATTAGTCCCGTTGGAAGTGGCAGAACGTCCCTTTCTGGGAATGATTTCCATTAAATTTAAATGGTGTGAGCAAGGCAATAAAATTTTCTCATTTAAAAAAAAGAAGTGTTTTTAAAGTCTCACTCGAGGTGATTTAAGGTGCTTTTGCAACAGTTTATTAAATTATGTAATAGGGAACAGAGGATTTGAGGCTCGGAAACTTCCACCCAAATCAGGTGGAAGAGGGACGAAGGAGCCCGGGCTTTCCCGATGGAAAATGGCCTGAACCGAAGGGTAACAAAAATAAACGCATCCTCCCGCCTCATCTATTATGCATTTACTGCTCCTGCCGGCTCGAACCCTGCCAACCATTTCAGAAAAGACGGCCAAATATTTTAGCGACTTCCACTCTAAATATTTACCCGGAGAAAGGCTAAAAATCTCGAGGCCTATTGTTTTCTCCAGTGCTAAGCCCGATGCGAGGTGCGAGACGAGCTTTAACAAGGTTTAAAATTTGAGAAATGTATTTGCATGAGATGCCCGCACTGAAGTCATTGTGGCTGAGCGGATGTCTTTAAGAAACAATTTAGGTGCTAATGGAATTTAATGTTAAATGCTTCCCCCTCCAAAGGCGGCGGGAGGGGGAGGTGGGATGTGGAGTTCTCACCTCCAAATTACTCCCCGGCATTTGGAGTCCTGGCAGCCGGGCGAGAGGAATCCCTATGAAAATTAAATGAAGTATTTTACAGACGTTTAGTTTTCCCAGCGGATTTACGTTTATCTCCTGTATCCATACACGAAACAATCTGCCCGGCCTTAAATCTGCCAGTAATGGTTTCCAGTTTAACAGGATCGCAGGTTTGGTACTGAGGCGAAACCGCTCGGTGATTCTTCCTGCCCCCCCTCCCCTTTTTTT